CCCGCCATCCCACTTTATTATCGCAATAAATGTGGCCATAAAAGTGGCAGGTATCGGCGCGCGCCGCGATCGCTGCTCCCGAGCTATGGAAATGTAATTTCGAGTGTGCCCGGGAAATTTTATAAGATTGTATCAGGCGGGATCATAAATTGCATTTCCAGCCCCCCCCCCCTTCTCCCCTGGATGAGACGGGGCCCGCGAGAAGGTCACCAGAGAGGGGGGCAATGCCAGGCTGTCCCCTCAGTGAGACCCCATCCCCGAGCCCCCCCCGGCTCTCCCCGACATTCCCATTCCCAGGGATCTGTTCCCCCCGGGGTGGGGGGCAGCAGTAAGGACACAGCAGCCCCCCCGCACCTCCCTGGCAGTGCAGGTTAATTAAGACCCTCCAAGGGACCCCCGGGAGCGCTGGGGACCCTCCAGGGCATTGCTGTGGCCGCGGCTCCTCTGGGGTCACGAGGAGCGTGACCCTCTGCAGCCGGGCAAGGCTTCCCACTGGGAGCAGGGGACAGAGTGTCCCTGCAGCCCACCGTCCCCTGGGACCCCCCCCGTGACCCCCAGGGCTGGATTCAGCCCCCCTTTGCACCCACCACCCAGCCTGGGCTCCCGGCCCCTCGCAGGTGCCCACCAGGGGTGGAGGCTCTGCTGCCCCGTGCCAGGGAGATGGGGGGGACAGGGAGAGGGTCCCCCCCGCTGTGACACCAGGCAAGGCCAGCCCAGGGAGATGGGGGGGACAGGGAGAGGGTCCCCCCCGCTGTGACACCAGGCAAGGCCAGCCCAGGGGCCCGACGGCCACGGGGGTCACAGGGGGGCTGTGTCCCCACACCGCGGGGTGCGGTGGGGATTGATCTGGGGGGGCTCCTGTCCCTGCTCTGATCTGATCCTCCACAATGACTTTCCTTCTGCAACAGGGAAAAAGGCAGGAGGGGGGGGGGGACACACGGGCGCGGGGACGTGATTATTCCTTCAGCAGCAATCCAAGCGGCGGCAGAGGAAGCTTCATCTTTCCTGGGCCATTTACCTCCGGCGCCCGAGCGCGAAGGCTGAGCCAGGCTCGGCTGCGGGGCTGGAGCTCGGCCGGGGCAGGGGGGGTCCAGCTGGGGGGTCTCAGCGTGGCACCACCCCACACCTGGGCCACCGGCTGGGGGGACTCTGTCTCCCTGAAAGGAGGAGCTGGGGATGCAGAAAGGGGGTGCAAAGTCACTAATCTGTGAGTGTTAATTGGCAGGGGTGTGATTAGTGGCGGGGGCTCAGCTGGGGGCCGCTCTGGCAGGGGGAAGTGCCCGCCTTGCCCCCCATCCCGGCTCGGGCACCCCTGCCGGTCCCCGGTGGAAAACTGGCAATTAAAAACAGGAGGAGGGGGGAAAAAGCAATAAAGTGGGACCCGGCTTGGAGCCAGAACGGCACCGGGAAGCGCAGGGGTGGGGGGGTCTGGTCGGGGGGCACCCAGGGGTGTCCCCCCTCCCCAGCCACCGCTCCCCCTCCTCGCCGAGGCTGCGCCAGCCACGCTCCAGGCTCCAGCCTTATTGAATCTCCCAGCTCAGGGTGCAAAGGGCACCAGAGGGAAGAGTTATTAAAAAAAGGGAAATGAGTCGCTTGGAAACCTTCTTTCGGAATAACAGTGTGTGTTTGTTTGGCGATAGATTAGCTCAGCCATGCTGAGCACACAGCACCCGCCGCAGCCAAGGGCGGCTCGGGGAGCCGCAGCGCCGGGCACGGGGGGCACACGGAGCCCATCCCGGCCCTGTGGGCACCAGCTGGGCACTGGTTGGGGACCGACCAGCCACGGACGGTCCCTGAAGCTCAGCACCCCCAGGGACCCCCGGCCAGGCAGGGCTGCAGGACGGCACCACCACCCAAAGCCCATTTCCCCTCCCCCTGGCCCCCAACGTGGCACACACCTCTGAGCCACGAACCGGGGAAAGCCCCCACAATAAGGGGAGCCGGGGGGGTGGAACTGGGGTGTCCTTGCATAAGGAAAGGGCTGGCAGCATCTGCTAAGAGCGAAGCCATCTGCCAGGCAGCAGCCCAGGAGACGTGTGACGGCTCCTGGGTGACAGCGAGGCAAAGGGTGAGTTTCTGGCATCCCGCGCCATCGGCTCCGGCTGGCACGGCCACCGGCACTGCCGGGCAGGGCCGTCCTGGGAAGGGTTAATCCGTAAAGGAAAACCTGCCAGCAACACTCCGAGTGCTTCACAGGCAGCCGCTGCCTCACCTGCCTGTGCGGGGAAGGAGGGAAAGCGAGGCACGGGGCTGGGCTGGGGGAACGTTCCGGCAAAGGCGCTGGGGACGGAGCAGGGCAAGGAAAGACACCGGTGTCCCAGTCCTGGCCCTGCTGCAGCACCCAGTCACCCCAGCCCAGCCTGCTCCTGCCTGCTCCAGGGCCAGCGCTGCCCGTCCCCTCCACTGCTGGCTCTTGCTCAGCGCTGGGTGGGGGTCACAGGGCCAGGAACGGCATCATCTGCCTCCGGGAGGGCCGGGGGGATCCGGGAGGAACTGCCCTTTCTCAGCCCGAGGCCATCTGGCCCAGCCAAGGGGCGTGGGGCCAGGCAGGGGGATGGTCAGGACCCTTGGGGGTGGGGAGCCAGGCCAGGTCCCCCCAGAGGGACCCCACGATTTAATGCTCAATGCACAGGAAATAATGGAATCCATAAAAATAACGCAGGAACCTGGGAGAGGCTGAGGAAAGGGGGGGGGGGGGTCTCCTGTGGACAGAGGTGGGCTCACCCCCTCACCTGCCCTGGCACTGCCAGCCCAGCAAATCCTGGGCACCTGCAGCCATGGGGCCTGGGGGGGCAGGAGGGTGGTCCATCCCAACAGGGATCCCACAGACACCAGCGTCCCCCAGCACAGACCACGGGGGGGGACACCCCGGGGGTCCCACATGCTGGGGGTCCCTCCCTCCTGCCACAGGGATGAGGCTCTCGCTGCTGCCCGGGGGGTGCAGCCCCTCCTGCCCCTTCCCCCTCTGCTCCCACCACGGTCCTGGTGGGACGTGGTACCGGGAGCCCCAGTCCAAGGCACTCACTGGGGCTGGAGGGACCCCCCCCCCCAGCTGCCTCCTGACCCCCAAAAGAGGCCTGGAAAGTTCCTTCCCGAGAGGCCCAAAGGGCTGAGGGGGCAGGAAAAGCTCCGTTACCCCTCCCTGGCACCCGGTGGGCCCACGGCTGGGCAGCCCCCGGTCCCTCCATGTCAGGGAACCCAGGAAGCGCCGGGAGGGGGGTCCTGGACCCCCCCAGCACGGCGGGGTTGGGGCTCAGGGCATCTCCCAGGGTTATCCCCATGCAGGAGCCTCCCGTGCCCGTGTGCCCACCCCCGGCCCCAGGCCGTGCCCGTGCCCCCCGGCTCTGAGCCCCCCTGCACCCCCCCAGCCCCGGCGCCGGCGTGGGCGTGGGGGGGGCCGGGGCAGCGCCCAGCTCCGGGTTTCATCAAAACAAACCCATTTGTCTTGAAGCAGCTCCAGCACCGACAGATGCTCTGCGATGGATGGACACGGGGAGGGGGGGGTCACGCAGAGCCACCCCCACACACGGGCACACGGCCCCCCCCTCCCCACGCGGGGAGCAGCGTGCCAGGCAGAGACAAGTTGCAGGAGCCTTTGCCTGGGGGGGGTCGGGTGGTGCGGGGGGGGGGGGGTCCCTGATGTGCATCCAATTCCCGAGAGGGAATTGACTCGTTTGATTTTATTCATGAAACACAGAAAGTAAAAATGGAGTGTCAGGAAACCAGATCTGCTGGGTGATGAGCGTGGCCCCCCCCCGGCTGGGCTGGGGGGGCTCCATCCCCCCCCTCCTGACCACCACGGCGCTGGCGGTGGCTGCAGCCGTAGCCCCCCGAGGGGTTCAGGAGGAGGTGGCAGAGGGGGACACGCGGGGGTGAGTGGCCTTGGGAAGCTTTTAGTATCTGGGACTGGGGGACTTTGCGGGGGGGGGACTCTGCGGGCAGGGGGGGTCTCTGCGGCTGCAGCTGCTCCTCAGCCTCCACACACAGGCAAAGGGGGGGAGCGGGCAAAGCCCCCCCACCAGGCCTGTCCCGGGAGGCCCCCTGAGCCCACCCCACAGCCGGGGGGCACCCGGTGAGATGGGGACGTGGCTGGTGGGAGAAGCCCCCCCCGGAAGGGCTGAGCCCCCCCGTGTCGAGGCTGAGCCCGCGCCGAGCCGGGACAGGAATGAGGCGTCGCCTCTGCAGGTGGTTTCGGGGCTCACGCCCTTGGCGGAGCCCCCCCAGCCCTGCCTGGGGACCCCCCCGCGCTGCCCGGCACGGTCGCCGGGGGGGGGGCTCGCCCCGCTCCCCCCCTCCAGGTGCGGGACAAGGGCACCCCCGACCCCCCCGCGGAGCCCCCCCGGCAGAGGGGCCGACCCACCCACGCGTGGCCGCCCCCGCGCTCACGAGCGGCTCCGTCTCGCTGCCCCCCCCCCGCACCTGCCAGACGGCGCCTCCCGCGCTCCGCAACGGGGGGAGGACCGGGGGGGGCTTCACCGGCGGCGGGACCCCCCCCGGACCCCCCCGGCCCCCAACTCCGCCCGAGCTCCGGGCGCGGCGCCCCGGGACAGCCCCGGGACCCTCCAACTTGGGGGGCGCAGGACCCCCCCCCATACGCAACCCCTGTCCGCCGCCCCCCCCAACTCTCCCCTTCTCCTGCCCCCTCCAAAACGATCCCCGGGATTGCACGACCCCCCCCCCCCCCCGAGGATCGCACAAGCCCCCCCAGCCCTCCGCTCTCTCCGTGACTGCCGGAGCCCCCCCAAAAGCACGACACCCCCCGAGCCGCACCCCTCCCCTGCACGACCCTCCCCAGGACCGAACCCCCCCCCACACTGCACGACCCCCCCAGGGCGACACCCCCCCATCCCCCCGGATTCGTCCGACCCTCTCAATAACTGCACGACCCCCCCCTCCCGGACCTGCCCCCCCCGGTAATCGCCCCCTCCCCGGTTACCGCGCCCCCCGCCCCCCCCGCGGCGGTGGCGGCCGTGCCGGGGGGGGGGCCCGGCCCCCCGTACCTGCAGCAGCAGCAGCCCGGGCCCGAGCAGGGGCAGGCGGCGGCGGAGCATCGCGGGGCTCCGGGAGCGGCGGCGGCGGCGGCGGTTGAGGGGCGGCGGGAAGAAAGTTGGAGACTTGCGGGGCCGGGCGGCGCCTCGGCGGCCCCGCCAATCCCGGCCGGCGGGGGGGGCGCCGGGGGGGGGCGGCTCCGGGGGCGCCGGGACCCCGCACCGGCCCCGCGCGAACCGGCGGCTCCGCCACAGACCGTGGGCGGGGGGCGCGGGGAGAGCCCCGCACCTCGGGGTGCCCCCGGTCCTTCGCCCCCCTCTCCCCCCGCATCTCGGGGGGTCCCCGGTGCTCCCCCCACCCCTTTCCCCCGCAGCCCGGGATGCCTCCGGTCCCGCCGCCCCGCACCCCGGGGTGTCCCCGCTCCTGTCCCTCGTCTCCCGGGGACCCCGCACCCCGACATTATCCAGGGAGACCCCCCCCGCACCCCGGGATACCGCCGGTGCCGCCCCCCACTCCCGGAGCCCGCGTACCCCCGACTGCCCCCGGTCCTGCCCCCTCCTCCCCCGCACCATGAGACACCCAAATCTTCCTTCCATCTCCCCCGGGTCCTGCCCCTGCTCCCTCTCTACCCGAGATTCTGCACCCCGAGGTTCCCCCCGGTCCTGCTCCCCCCGCCGCGCCCCCCCCGAGGTGCCCCCGGCTCTGCTGTGCCCTGGAAAATGTGCTGGCACCGGAGGGGACCCCCCGTCCTGCCCCTCCTGGGGAGGGCACAGGGCCCCCCGCTGCTGGGCCCCCCCGGACTCCAGCAGAGGAGGGGGGACCACCCTACGGAGACCCCCCGGGGGGGCACCCCAGGCCCTGCCACACCCCGAGGAGGGGCCCCCTCGCCTTGCACCCCCACCCGTGTCAGGCTGGACACGCCACCTGCGTCACCTGCAGGGACAGGCGTGTGCACACAGGGACACGCGTGTGCTCGTCCCCTGCCCGGCGCTGGGCCCCTCTCCCAGCGGTTCTCACCCGCCCCCCCCCCCGGGGTTTGCACATCCCCCCGCCCCCAGAGCCCCCTCCCCACCCCCTCAATTTATCCCTATTATCGTGGGTTTACTGTGATTATCCCGGGAAGCCGCCGGCGGGGGCTCGGCGTTGGTGGGGCCGGGGGGGCTGGGGGCACTGAGGGGGGTGGGTAGGGACACACGGGTGGGGCTGGGGGCACTGGGGGGGGGGATAGGGACACACGGGTGGGGCTGGGGGCACTGCAGAACCGCGTGGACATGCGGAGGCAGAATGATAAAAGATAAGGGAGAAATGGGAAAAGGGAAGGGAGAGGGTGAGGAATGAGGGAGAAGGGGAAGAGAGAGGAGAGAGCAGAGCCACGAGGAGAGGGGGGGTCCAGGGGCCCTGGCGTCGGGGGGGTCCCATCCAGCCCCGTGGTGGCCCTGGGCACGTGGGCACGTTGCACCCTGTGCCCAAGATCTGCAGCTGGGGTTCAGGGGAGCCCCCCCGACTCCAGGGTGGTCCCTCCAGCCCCCTCTTGCTGCTGCCCCAGTGGCAGCACTGCTGGTGGGTGTGAGACCCACTGGAGCCCCACAGCCCCCTGCTCCTCTCTGTCCCCCACTTCCCACTGCCCCTCTCCCACAGGACCCCCCCAGGGACCCTGGCACTGTTCCCCCCCAATGCCACACTCACCCCACAGAGGGGGCTGCAGGGGCACCCAGACCCCTTGGGACCTCCCCCAACATCACCACAAAAACTCCCTGAGGGGGTCCCTGTGTCCCTGATGGTCTCATCGGGGAGCAGACACCGGGGTCTGCGAGAGGTTGGGGGGCTCTGGAAAAGGACCCCCCACTCTCTGCCTTAACAGCCCAGAGGGCTGAGATGGGGAGGGGGGAAGAGAAAGGTGGAGGGGAACGAATGGGGGAAGGGGTGAAAAATAGAAAATATTGAAGGAAAAAGATAAAAAGGGTTGGGGGGGAGAGGGGAGAGGGAGGAAAAACCTCGGGAGGAGATTTAAGAACCGATAAGTGAACAAAGAGCCGGTATTGAAATAGATCTGAGGCCGCCGGCGCCCGGTGCGGGGCTGGGGGGGTTCAAAGGCAGCGGGGGGGGGGGGGGCTGTGCCGAGGCTGGTGATGATGGGGGGGGTGAGGGGGAACCTGCTCTGCTGAGCCACCAGCCGGAGGGGCCCAGGACCTGCCCTGGGGACCCTCACACCTGCCTGGCACGCGGCAGGGCCGGGGCCGACGCCACGAGGGTTCGACGCCACAAGTGAGGCCAAGCTGAGCCCCCCCTGCCCGCCCAGCACGAGCCCCCCGGGGCAGCCACGAGCCCCTGCCCGGCCACGAGCCCCTGTCCAGCCACGAGCCCCTGCCCAGCCACGAGCCCCTGTCCAGCCACGAGCCCCTGCCCGGCCACGAGCCCCTGCCCGGTCATGAGCCCCTGCCCACCCATCTGCTCTCGGGGTGAGGGGCCTTCCTGACCGAGCCCCCCGCCCACAGCCCCTGGTGCTGCCCTGGCAAGAGGGATGGACAAACAGGGGGGACACACGGACTGGGGGGCACGAGGGGGGCACATGGGAAGCACACGCACACGTGGGAAAAAGATGAAGAAGATACAGGGGTGGGCACGCGGGTGGGGATGAAGGGGGGGCACAGGGTGGGACATGGGAGAGGTGCACACGGAGGGGACAGGGAGGGACACACGGGGTGAGATACACACTGGGGGACACGGGGGGGACACACGGGGTGAGATACACACCAGGGGACACGGGGGGGACACACGGGGTGAGATACACACCAGGGGACACGGGGGGGACACACGGGGTGAGATACACACCGGGGGACACGGGGGGGACACACGGGGGGCTCTGGGGGAGAGATGCACAGGGGGGACACAGGAGGGGACACACGGGAGGCTCTCGAGGTGAGATACACACTGGGGGACGGGGGGGATACAGGGAGGGACACACGGGGGGCTCTGGGGGAGAGATGCACAGGGGGGGACACAGGGGGGACACACGGGGGACATAGGGGGGGACACACGGGGGGACACACAGGGGGGAACACACGGGGGACATGGGGGGGACACACGGGGGGGGACACACAGGGGGAGACACACAGGGGGACACAGGGGGGAACACACGGGGGGCTCTCGGGGATGCGCGTTCTCGAGAGCGGCGTCTCCACCTGGTGGCGGCTTCTGGTACTGCGCGCGCCGCCGGTGCCCGGTGCCAGTCCCGGTGACAATCCCGGTGACACTCCCGGTGCCAGTCCCGGTGACAATCCCGGTGACACTCCCGGTGACAATCCCGGTGACAATCCCGGTGACAATCCCGGTGCCAGTCCCGGTGCCAGTCCAGGTGACAATCCCGGTGCCAGTCCCGGTGCCAGTCCCGGTGACAATCCCGGTGACAGTCCTGGTGCTTCGGAAGCCCGTGCTCGGAACACCCTGTGCCCCCTCCGCATGACCTCCCCCTGTGCCACACGACGGAACAAAAGGTCCTGGTGGGAACCCCCTGTCCTACAGCACGTCCCTGTGACCCCCTCCCCGTGACCCCTCGACCCCTGCTCCCCAGGACACCCCCCGCTCCCCACCCTCCTCCTCCCCGCTGCCCACAACCCCCCGAGCCCCCTCCTCACTCCCCAGGGCCAGAACTGGCACCACTGGGCTTTGAGCCCATCATGGCCATGACCCCCCCCCCAACCCCGGGCTCCCCCCAAAAGCTGCCTCCCCCCTCCTCCTCCCCGCCCACCCCTCCCCAACCATCAGCCTGTGCTTCAGTTTTTAAAAATTTTATTTATAACAATATCTGTTTTTGTTTAGTTGTAAAGTAATCCAGCAAAAATTATTAAAACATTTCCCCCCAAGTAAAAGGATGGGGTCCCTCCCCGCCCCCCCCATGCGTTTATTTATTTCTACTATAAAAGCTAAGTCATCTCCAGGGGGGGTTGTGGCCTTTTTTTTTTTTTTCTTTCTTTTTCCTGTTAAAAAATGTGCACGTTGGAGAGCGGGCCGGGGGCAGGCGAGGGGCTGGAGTGGGGGCCCGTGGGGCTGGGACCCCCCCCCACCACAGCGGGGCTGGGGGCTTCGTCCTGGCCCCTGTAACAGTCGGGCAGAGAATGGGGGAGAGGGAGGGGGATAACGGGGAGGGGAAAGGTGGGGAAGGAGGAAGGGGAAGAGGGAAGGAAAGAGGAGGAGGGAGGGGAGGGAACGGGAGCCAAGGGCGGGTTGCAGGGGCAGAGCTGCAGGAGAAGGGGGAACCCGGGGAGCGGCAGATTTGGGGGGGGAAAGGAAACGGGGTCCTCGGAGAGGGGAGCTGCCGGGGTTGGGGGGTGGGGAGCGTGTGGCCCCTGCTCTGCCACCCCCCCCGTGCCCCCCATGGTGGTGACCCCACATCTCCCGTCAGCCGCGGGGTGTTCACCCCGTACCCCAACACGCCAGCCTGTCCCGGGGGAGGGAAAGGGGAGGGAGGGGAAGGGAAGGGAGGGGGGGGGCCCAATGTAAAGAGATTTAAAATAAACCAAAGCCGGGTCTGGCAATGAAGACGCCGAGGCCTGGGACGGGGGAATATACAGGTAATAATACTGCTCACATAGAAAAGTAATAATCCTTCATTTGTACATTTATACAGCGGCTCGTGGCCCCTCCGGCCCCCCCCGCCCGCCCCTGGGGCGGGGGCTGTGCCGGGCCCTGCGGCCCCTCGCCCCCCCTATGCCAGGGGGTCTGCCAGGTCATCGTCCCCCCGCGCCAGCAGCTCCCGCTTCTCGTCCGTGCTGGCCAGGGAGTTGCGGCTGTTGTGGGCGCCCATGTAGAGCGTGGCATACACGGGGTTGGTGAAGTTGGTGGGCTGTGGACAGGGGGGAGCAGGTGGGAGAGGGCACGGACACCCCCCCCGCCCAGAACTGCCGCCCCCCCAGGGGTGTCCCCTGCCCCGCAGTGCCCCGGTGAGAGCCCCCACCAGCCGTGACCTCCTCCGGGTCCCCGCTGGGGCTGTGGTGCTGCCATCCCTCCCCCACAGCCTCCAGCCCCAAAGCCTTTGTGACCCCTCAGAAACCCCCCAGCCCCA